ATATATTTTCTGTTATTTGTATTAATATAGCAGAAACTTTTATTTAAAATAAAATATTTATTATTACTATGATTGGCGAATATTCTTGTAACTATTTACTTTGAACTGGTGGTATTTATAAGCGTACCTGTCATCTATCATTAGGGTGATATGAATATTGGAAAGCTAGGAAGCGTCTTCCTTGCATGGTTTGTAATAAGCTGACTAGCTCTAAGCCTGGCCTTTGTAGAAAACATGCTAGTGGTTATTATGTGACCCAGTATATTAATAAGCTTCAGAATAGAGCCATAGGTACTTATTGGGAGGCAAATTAGGGTTGAAAATTTTACACCTAATACTAAAACATATGAAAATTTTACACCTAACCCGATTTTTTTTACTCTAAGGTGAAAATTAGCAACCTTAGCTTTATGTAAAGGAAATGGCTTAAGAATACTTTACTGAATATTGAGAAATTATTAGGTTACTAGAACCTGATCTAGAGCTTTTAGACTTTCTTGTATACATTTAAAAATTTACACCTATGAATGGGCATAAGTGTAAATTTTAGTATTACTAGCTGATAATGAATCAACTTTAGAATTAATTTTAGGATATTATGAAATATGGTATGCATTTTAGACTTACATGATCGGATCTAACTCAAATTGCGTTATTTTGTTCCTTGATTTTTGATAGATCCTCTGGAGGCAAGCAGAATAACATAAAAGGTATTATTCATATTGGATTTGCAATGTCAGATTTAGCTCAGATTGCGTCACTTTGTTCCTTGATTTTTGATAGCTCCTCCTGAAGCAAATAGAATAGTAAATTTTTTTTGATATATTATTTGGGATTAAAAATGGGCTAGAACAGTTAAAATAGATTGTATTCTTTTTAGCTTCTGAAGCCTAGATTTTATACTAAGAAGAGGTTGTTAACAGGATTTGAGCCAAAATCACGTTAGAGGCTTAAATTCAATAGTTGATTTATATATGCTAGAATGGATTGGAAAAAGGTTTGAAGATTTATTTTGGATATCATATAATTTTGATCCCAGAACCCCATATTGGCCTTACTCTAGTATAATAATAATTGTTATATAATTCACTATTCTGATAAGTTTTCAGCCGTGTAAAAAGATTTGGTAAGTAGTATAAACATGCATGCAATATGAAAAATGCAAATCAATATATCAGAAAGCATCTGTAAGGTGATTCACAAATTTTTATCATGTAAACCATTTGTTCAACTAACTTCTTAGACTTGAAAATTCTCAATAATCTTATTGTAAAGTTTGTCATAATTATTATATTCAGTTTGACAGTGAGAAAATAAAAGTTTGCTAGAATTTTTCATTAAAATGCTAAAAGCATTTGGTTTATCTTAAATTAAATCTGGTATATCTAAATTTATATTAACTACTAGACAAAATTTAACTTGCAAAAATCCTAAAACTTCTAACATTTTTAAGTTGCCATTTAGTCCATTGTCAACTTTTCACTAACTTTCAGATTCTATACTTACTATGTATTTAATTTTAATTTATAATTTTAAAAAAAAAATGTTAACTGAATTATATTAATCAGAATTATCAAATTTAGTTGCTAATTTTTGACATACTATTAGGAGTGACTTTTTCAATTATATGTTTACAAAGGAATATTATAATAGACAAAATTTTGAATTATGGATGTAAAGAATTATTGATATATAAATTAGTTTTTATATATTAGATTTGATGTATATCTTTGTAGGTTAACATCTAAGTCTTTAGAACATTGTATAATTTTATAAATTTCCATACGGCCTTCATAATCAAAATTAGTTAATTTACTGTTATTATTGATTATATTTAATTTGTAAAATATGATTCCAAATTTTAGTATTAAAATAATATCTTTTTTTTATAAAGTATTTGGAATATAAAGATAGGAAGTAAGTTATCAGTAAAATTTGTTGGATGAATTTACCAAATGTAGTTATTGTAGTATAAAAAAATTTGTTTACTACGATTTTTGGATGCAAGTTATTTTAGTGATACATTTGCTTAAATTCATACTAAGTATGGTATGATACTAACATTGATCTTATGATTTCGGCTTCTTTTGGGGAACTAAAAATGTATGAAATTAACAAAAAAGTTTAATTTAATATACATTTTCCAATAGAATTCATTATATATAAAAAATCACCGATAAAATTTTCACATCAAAAAATAGGCATCAGGTGAGCATCTCATACATAACTTTCGACAGTATCACGTGATAAATACATTTGCGGAGCAAGATAAGAGACCAACTCCGGCAAAAAATTTGGCATAAATTATTTCAAAAACACCATTCTTTGATTTTTATCAGTTTTTTTTTTCATTTCATAGATATTGAATGAACAAACTTTCGAAAAAAGGATAGACTGCATGGGCGTTTGATGAGCGCCAAAAAAATAATGTTCTAGAATTGGCCAATCATTCGTTTCCCATATAAAGATACAAGAAATTTAAACAGTTACAATAGTTCACAAAACTACTTTTAAACCAGTAAAAGCAACTCATATTCTCGCAACAAAAATTTTCAAAAATTTCGTTCACCATTTTTCACATTTCAGGAACAAATTCTTTACCAATTAAAACCTTACTTTCAACTACTGTCGCTTTGGCTTATCCAAACCATTATCCTTACCCCTCCAAGCCTACCAAACCGACACCGCCTTTACTTACTAAAATAAGCGAAAAACCCCTCACTAATTATCAATCTCAACCATTAATCAGTGAAATTTCAATACCAAGAATTAGTCAAAAAACAGAAAGCAGCGAACCATTACCGGTAATTACTAATCAAAAGGAAAGATGGCTTTCAATAGTAGCAATAATAATAGTATCCAAATGAGGAGTTATCATAGCACCGTTCAGCCAAAAGAACAGCTTTTGGCTGTCCTCTCGGCCTCAACGAAATGTGCTTCTTCCAGTACTGCTAGTACTAGCGAGTGCATTTATTATTGTACCTGTAAGTTTAAATAAATGTATTTATAATATTTCATAATCGGGCTTATTTGTTCTATGCTTGAAAATTTTTATTATTTAATATATTTTAATTTTTATAATTTTTAATAATTCTTGATAAAGTGGGCAATAAGGCAGGGTGGCGTTCCTGTAAGTATTTCAAAAAATTTAACTTTCCCCATTGTAGATGTACTTTCCCTAACTTTTAACTCAGATATAGAAATGTACTCAAAAAAAATGCTTTCACGATCTCTAATCCCTCAATACAGGACATGACTCCCGAGGCCGCCGAATTTTTCTTGACACCGGACTTCCTGGTTCGTGACAATGGTGGCAATTTCACGACGATGGGAGGTTCCAAAAATAGAGGCCCGATCAAAAAAAATCGGAAATCTTTCGTCGAACATTTCCGAGGAGGAAATGTAGAAAAGAACCTAACAATAATCTCGGCCCACGACAAATACGAGTGTATTTGGGAGGGTTTTGTCATGGATGGCACCTTGTTTTTGCAAGGAAATGCCATGGAAAACTTCAACTTCAAAAAAGACAGGTACGTTGATTTATGAAATTTTACAATAGGAATTAAATGGAGACCCACACATTTTTGGCCTTAACACGAATGAATAAAATTGTGGATGCATCTCGCTCCTATTTTGTTTATGGGGGGATTTTTTTTCCGATATTAGCATCGTCGCTGTCATCGAACTCGCAGAAGAATGCCTGAAATGCCATTCTCTAATAATCTGTGTTGAAAGACAGACTTCGTTCCTCGGTAAGTTTTTGTTTAAATACAACTTTTTAATGCTGATATTGAACTTTTAACTTATTTATTATTTTCACCTTAATGTAATTTTAGCGGCACTTATGCGCATTTTCCTATATATAGGATTTGAGCTCGTCGCGCCTGGGATTTTTAATCATCCCAATGATTATCTGCTCGTTGGAATGGAGTTTTAAATAGGAATGGCTCTTTAAATAGAGCTCTCTTAGTACCTTTTTATATTATTTGTTTGTTCTTTATAAATAGTGTACTATAAAATTTTCTTTATAACCTTTTTTTTTAACATCATGGTTCCATTTTACTTATAGAACATTTTCTTTCGATTTTTATTTTATTTCTTTCTACCTTTTTTGGCCATCAATGTATTGGTGTTAAATAACCGTGAAATTGATAAGAATATATACACAACAATTGTAAATTATTTTAAACATTTATTATAAATAAATATATTCATATTCATATTTAGTTTATTATATTTTTGAATCAACTGAGGAAAAGAAAAGAAAAAAGAATTTTGAGAATACATTATATACGATCCCCTAAAAACGAAAATAAAGTCTAACTTACCATTAAATTTGGTGTGTTGTCCCATGGCAATCACTTTACCAGAGTTCTTTTGTTTAAGAATGGTATGAGTATTCGTAAGTGACTTACCAATTTTAAATACCATACTTTCAATTAATAAAGTATCTTCTGCTCTAGCAGCACTCACATAAGATATTGCCATATCTGTTGAAACTCCTCCACTCTTAAAATATTTATCTATCCAATTTTTTAAAGTCAAATCAATTCTTTAAATATAAGTAACAAGAATAAAAATGCATTACCTTGAAAAACAACTATAACAGCGGAAGAAACGATATCGATTAAACTCGCGATAAATCCACCATGTATTCCTCCAAATGAATTACAGTCTTTAGGATCAACCACGTACTCAAAAACACATTTATCATGTTCGAATGAAATTAAACTTAACCGTTCCCAGATGTATTTTTGAAAGTAATCGTGTGGAGGTAAGTTTTTGGTATAATAATTGAATTTCTCTAACCGGGTTTTATTTAAATTTGTATCAGACATTTTTTTAGAACGTAAAAAAATCTGACATTTTATCGAAACGCAAATTAAGTATGACATACAATAGGTAACATTATATTTTATTTAATAATATTTTTTATTTTTAGATTATTTCTATTAAAAGTTAGTATGACGTTTTACAGACTTTTTCGAAAGTATTTAATTGTTTATTTATTATTCTTTTATTAAAAGTAATTAATTTTTTTTTTTTAATGATCATTAGCTATATGAAGTTGTAAACATTGACGATTGCAACAAGCAACACGCTGACATTTGGCACAAACTAATAATTTCCAAATCTCTTTGGTGTCTTTAGGTTCAAAATCACACTGGACACATATTGGTAAAACGTTTGGAATTCCTTTCTCAAAATTCTTTTGTAATAATCTCACTTTAGTATGAGATTTTTTAATCAATTTATCTGCACTAAAAGATATAGATGTTAAACCAATGTTTTCACAATCTTGATAAATCCGCAAAGCATCAACGAAATCACGATCTAATTCCTTGGTGTTGGCCAAATTGAATAAGATATGAACCCTTAAAGCTTTACGTAATTGATTATTCTCATGAGTTTGAAACCTTATGAATTGTGATTCATTTAAAGTTGAATCGAATTGTTTCAAAATGGTTATCCCATCATCCCATAATTCAAAATCACTTTCACGATCAAGTTGATATCGATATAATTCCGTTATGCCAATAATTACTTCTAATATTAAGTTCATGTCCCATAAAGTATAATTAATTAAGTTTATTAATTTTAGTGCTAAAAAATAATTTTGTGCCGATAATTCACAATCGGATGATATTATGTCCTTGAACGAAGATGTCTTGGAAGCGGATGAATTTTGTAAACCGTGCAAGTATATGGATCCTAATTTTGCTGCGGCAAAAGCGGAACCAAGGTTGGACGTTTGTTGTAAGAGAGATACGTAAGAGGTATAATCCTTGGATTTGAACTTTCTTTCGGCATCTTCTAAAAGCGTGGAGATTAATGTTGTAACATCTAATGAAGAATCAAGTTCTCCACTGTTATAATTCGGTGCTATCGTGGTTGTCCTATTAGAAGAAAGACCTTTTGAATTGGTGGATTCTTTTTCAACCAATGCATTGATTACTACAATGATGGGATCAACATATTTCGATAGATCGTGACCCATGTTTTTTTATTTTATTATTTTAAATTAAAAAAAATTTTTTTTTTCTTTTGAAAAGAGAGGAAAAAGAAGAAAGAAAATTGGACGCGTATTTATAGGTGTGTGAATGAAAAACAGGTGTCCCCCAAAAACGCCCTTGATTAACTATACATCTAATGTATTTGGCGCGATAAAAACAATGCATGTGAAAATCTCTGCTAACGTAATACTAGATGATAAAAATTTAAATACACATTTTCCTTGCCCCACTATAAAGCATAAATGGAAGTCGTGTGGTGTAGTGTGAATTTGTGTGATGTTTGGTATCCAAAGATTTTCTCACACATCATATATATAATACTAATTTGGATAAGTTGGCGTTCAAATAAACGGACCCGACTCTCGCTTCCCTTTTAATCAAATATTTATGATAAGATTTTCTTGCATCAAATATAAAACAAAGGGAATTACGGAGATGAAAAAAAACCTTTTAAGAAATCAGTTAATCAACAATCAATCATTCCACTATTGTTTTATTGTTTTAAAAAAAAAAAAAAGTATTTTAAATTAAATTACCAAATGGTATCATTGCACGTGATGTCAAACCGATCCAATCATTGTCGCTTTCTTCCGGACCAATGAAACCATACGAACAGATTTATTCTCACGGGTCGAAGCGGTTCGTATATAAGGAGATATCCTGAATATCCCCAATATAGATTAAAATGGAACAACTGCCAGAAGTTACGGTGATACTCTTGGATGTATCCAAGAATATGTTATCATCATCAAATCAATTAGAAACAAAATTTGATAATTCAAGATATTTAATCCAATATTATTTACAAAAGTGCAAATGGAATACATTATCTGTTATATTGTTCGATTCTAAATGTCATATATTACAAGATTTTACCAAAAATCATGATCAGTTAATCATGACGTTAAATGAGTAAATTTCCCTTAAAATTTTTACCTTCAAAATCGTATATACAAGTTAATTTGAATCATCATCCTTTTCAAATATATCAGGCAGAAAATTACATTCGAAGATCCCAACCGAGAAATGAAGGCAGCGTGCGAATTCGTTGAACAACAAGTTACAAGAACATTTGGTTCGGATCAAGCGTGTCAGGTAATAATTTTAACGGATGGGCGTCCACCACAAGGTAATTAATAATGATAATAATAATAATTTTTAAATCCCTCCTTAACTTTCTCTTTGACTTAATAACTTAAAATAAATGACGAGATCTTTCAGGAGAGGACGGGTTTCGATCGATACTATTTCGTAATCCATTATGGAAATTACATTTAATCTGTTTAGCCGATGCGATAACAAAAAGTGAACATTCACAAAAAACGTCACGAATTCTTGAAGAATATAAGAGATTGTTAAATCGTCGAATTCCTCAAAGAATCACGAAAAATCATCAAAAAGGTGTTTCTACACTTGAAAAGGATGGTGCTTTTTGTTACTTACCTTACCCACATTTTAAAGATTCGATTCTAAGCATGATGGATTCTATCCTTGAGAAATATTGTATCTTTTAATTTGGTGTTTCAAAATGTGATATAACATGATTTCATTGATATCCTTAACGAGAGATTCCCTAAAAGTCTTGCCAAGTAGAGGATTACTTATGTGCGGACAATTACGTCTTCCGATTAAAGTATATCCTGTGCTTCCTGATGTAGACTATGGTATAATCTCGTCAATTTAGATCGAATGTTATAAAATATCACTTTTATAACATTATTGACAATGTATATATATTTTTTGTTATAGTTCATGAAATGTCAAAAACATTGTCCATTGTAGCATTTAAGTCAAAGGAAAAATTACTTATAGAACCTTCTATTCTTCGACTTTGGATATTTATAGATGAAGAATATGGAGACAAAAAAGAAGAGGTATACATGTGAACCGATTTTTCCTAGCCTTTATCTTCTATTCATTATATGAAAAAAAAACTCTTAAATTATTGTAGGATAAACCTTTACAAAATCATTCTGAATTTTTTCCTGTATTAGGGGAATGTCTCAGAAAAGAAAATCGTGTCGCGATTGTTTGGATGAAAGGTGATAATTACGCCACAATCGAACCTCCTCCGATTAAAGATGATCAAGAGCCAAATGATCTAGGTTCATGTAAGTTCCATATGGAGAAGTGTAGAAAAAGTAGGGTTTGAATTTTAATCTTAATTTTCTACCCTAGTTATGTACTTCACGATATATAAATCTGAAAAAGGAAATAATTTGTTATCAAAGTCGTCATCGTCATCTTCAATAACGCCACCACCGAAAAGCTATGTTTCCGGGTATATAGATCTACCAACGCCAGAACATGTTGAGGTAACATGTCGCAAATGAATTTTATTCTGGTCGTTCATTTACTTGACCATGAAATTCATATTTTTTTTAGAGTTTGCTAAATAAGATGTCACGTTATCTTATAAATTTACCTGATGATGCTCTGAAATTAAAGAATGTGTAAGTTGGATTTATATTTAAATGTAATATTTTTTATTTATTTTAATTATGATTAACTTATATTTTATTGCTCATCATCAAATTGGTACAAGTGTTCAACAAATGCAGCAGATTATAGAGATCTTTAGTTACAGGCCACTAAAAGAGCAAGTTATTGATAGGTTACATGATGTCAGGTAAGTACAACACATCAAATTAACAAAAATCTCATCATAAATTAAGATATAATTTTTATGTAGGATTCAAACTGTGGAGGCGGATATTAGACAAATACTTGCCGAGTGTTTATTAATGTTAGGCGAAGATATAGTGTCTGAAAATGATGAGGATGATCAGTTTAATTATTATGAAGATTCTGAACAGAGAGAGGATGACGATAATGATGATGATGATAATATTAACCAAGCTACTTCTAGTAGTCGAATATCCCTTAATGATTTATTGAACTAGTAACCGTTGAGATTAATAAAATAAATGTTCTGTAAAAAAAAAGTATTATCCATCTAATCACATTCATTTTTAATGTTACACGAAAATGGTTTATTAAAATTCTGGAAAAATATTTTTCCGTGAACTATTTAACGAAAATTTTCATTGAATTACTTTTCCGTTAGGGAGTTTGTACTCGTAGGTAATAATGATAACAATAAAGTTACCGAACAGTGAAGGCGGATACTTAGCATATTGGATGCTATTTGTTTCAATTTTAGCAATATTTAATACAATTCAAAATTTTCTTACGATTTCTTTAACGAAGAGAGTTTATTCTGCAAGACCAGCTCAAGGTAAATTAGTTAATTCAAAATCATTATAAATGATTTCACTTGTAGAAATTTTATTTTTCGAACTTTATTTCGAATTTTTTAGTCACGAAATTAGCATCAAGAACATTTGCAACGTGGACGTTCTTATCAGCTATTGTACGATTATATGCAGCATACAATATAACTGATGTAAAGTAAGTTATTTCTACATTTTTCACTTCTCAACAACCTCAATTTCACCTCAATTAATACTTTTGTTTATAAAATATCTTTCAGTATCTATCAAATCACAATCTGGACATATATAATTGCATCGTTCCATTTTATTACAGAATTTCTTTTTTTTAGAACTGCAACAATCAGTACAGGATGGCTAATCCCAGTTATAATTGCAAGTAAGTTTGTTTAGTTAGTTCTTTAAAAAACTTTCAGTGAAACATGAGTAAATATTTTAATTTTGGATTTTTAGGTTCGTCTTTAATTTGGATGTTACTTCAATATGAATATTATGTTCTTTTACATTAGATTAGAACTTACCTGTGTAGATAGTGTAGATATTTATAACAGAACCCTCGCTTTGTTCTTTAATGTTCTTTATAAAAATAAGAATAGAACATTCGCTCTTTACACGTTAAAATTTAACAAATAACTTTAATTGGTTTAAGAACAAAAAGAAAAAGACGCTTTTATTATTTTATAGTAATAATTATATATAAATATATCTATGTACAAATTAAATCAACGCGACATAAAATATAATACATTATAAAATGTTAAAATATAACAAACTAAAGATATTCTAAATATGCAAAAAATAAATTTGAAATTTGCTTCTTGGATCAGTGAATTACAACCAGCGTGATAAATTACATATTGAGACTGGCATTCTATGGTTTTTTTTTTTTTTTTTTTTTTTTTTTTTTTACCTCATCAAGAGATTTAAAGTGAACAAACATCATACCATTCCCCACATATTATTACCCAATCCAATAACATTTCCACCATAACCAATGTTTAGAAAGAACTTGATATCTAAAAGCCCACAAGGATTCGATAATGGCTCAAATGATTGAAGGATTTGATTTTTTGGAACATAAATTTCTTCTTTTAAGACATCCAAATTTACACGAGCCCTCTTATCTTGCTCAAGGTGATCTCGATGTTCGAGGTAGATATTGATGGGAGAAACGAGTTGCTCCTCCTTTTCAATAACCCTTGCGTTAATGAGGCTTTTCTTTCTGATGGGTTTTCTAATTATGGAATCTCTAGATTGATTAATTTTGATATCTCGAGATGACATGAATTGAGAATGTTCGAATTTATTTGAGTTCTTTATCGTTTCATTGGGGGATTTTAAGCCAAAAGTACGTCCAACATCTTTCAAGTAACCCACGCTAGATAATAAAGAAACTTATATTAGCATAGATCAAAAAAAAGAACAAGCATGAAAAAGATAAAAAAAATTAAATTAAAAGTCATACAATCCATATTTATCTTTTTCGTCATTTTGAAAATTTATTTTATTTCTTCTAATACTGGAATTTTTTCCATTTTCCTCATTTAACGTAATGGATGAGAAAATTTCAGCAGCCTTGCGTACTGATAACGTTTCATGATTGAAACCTGTAGAAACAAATTTTCCATTCGTTTCACAAATTTTATCATTATTTAAAGATACTTTTGCTTTCTGAGTAGAAGCAGTATTAGGGGTGCGCTTTATCGTTGTTTCCACCATTGGTAATAGTAAATCACTTTGAAGTGTGTTCCGTTTGTTATTTGGTGTGAAATAAAATTGATCCTTCAAATCGTTATTAATAAGTTGATAAGTTGTTCAGTTAAAAATTTGTTTTTTTGTTGAAAATTTAACCTACAAAAAAATAAAGCCACGGAAGAAGAATAAAAGAAATTTTTTTTTTTAACAGATTTAAAATACTTCCCACACGTGTTTTAAAAAGATCATCTTTTGATCTCTTTAAGTTTAGCACCGTAACTCAGTGGATCACGAGAATCAATTGATTTAAGTGATTTATTAGATTGTTGAACAAAAAAAAAATGAGTGTTATCTATTGTATCTTTTAATTTACTAACTTCTTAAGGGGTTAAGGAATTTAAAAGAATTGCAAATACTTCAAAAAATAAAAGTAATGTGGTGTAACTTATATGTATTGTAGATTGCATATGAATTTACTGGAATTTTCTTTTATTGGTTCATTTAATTTATTATATTAATAAACTATTATATCATATTTTTTTTTTAAAAAAAAAATTTTTTTATTAACCCATTTTATATAAGATTATATTTTATATATATATAAATTATTATTATTATTTTATATTTTATATTTTATATTATAATTTAATATTCTAATTAAAGTCATTTCTATAAGTTGTTATTATTTAAATTATATCCATTTAAAATTATAATTAATTATATACTTTAATATTATAACTCTTATATTTAATAATTCTACAACTTAAATTATATCTTTATAAATTGTAATTAATTTTCATAAATCATAAAAATATAATTATATTTATAATAGATTATGGATAATAATATTACTAGCAGTTTTATCTAAATAATATTCTGAAAAGTTTTTATAAATAAAATATAGAGTTTTTATTTAGATCATCCCTGATGATTTCATTAAACATCATCCTGTGATGTAATCACGTGATTTGCATATGATTATTATTAAAGTTTATTGCTATCTATTAAATTTCTATTTGTTTTATATTTTTTCTACAGATTTCCCATAGCTATTCTTTCTTTTAAAAATTCTTTTTTTTTTCATTAGATTAAGTAGATAAAACTACTTAGCTTCTATAAATTTTTCATTATTTTATACTAACAATCACAATATCCTTTTAGTTTATTTTTGTATATGAAAATGAATAAATTTAACATTGATATTCTTAACAATATAAAAGGATCTGAAAAATCCTTTATCTAATCACTATCTTCTTATAATGAAATTTCTAAGAAATGTTTACTTGAAAAATTGACAATACCTAATACTGCTTTTGATCAGGCTTCTAGGTTAAATGTTAAAATGTAATTTGAAACTAGAACTATGTGAATTTGGTGTTAATGGCTTATGGATAATGGATTGGTTTCATATAATAAATTCAAGACAAATATTTAGATAAAAATGGAGGTGTGTATAAATATATTTATAAATGTAAACATGCAAAAAATTTTAAATCAAAAAAATAGCCACTAATCCTTTAAAGTAGCGTAAAAAAGAATCAATCAAATCAGAATACACTTGTTTTGTTAATATGTGCTGGCCACTTAAATCATAAGGTCTATCTATTACTAAGATGAATTTTATACATTTTAGTTATTCAATTAATCCTGAATAAAGATGGGAACTGTAATTAATATGTTGCAACTTTAATGTTGCAACTTACGTTACAATTAGTTTTAACCTATTGTAATCCAAATGATCTTCAGAAAATTAGAAATGTGACGCAGTAAAGTGATCTGCAAATGATCTTCATGTGAATTGATCTACAAGAATCAATGACACAATAATCGGCAAAAAGATGATCTGTGAAATTAACCAAATCGGTTAATGAAGTAATGAAGTAATAGACCATTAGCCCATAATGACACGTGTAACCTTCTAAACTAGAAACTCCAAATAGGAACTTTAAGGAGAAACTAGTCGAAAGGCTAAGTATAAAGATGTAGCAATAGTTTAAGAACAATATAATTATATTCTCTACATC